GTGTGCCTTGGCAGTCAAAAATCACCAGTGGGGTCACTGCTGATGTATTTAATGTCGTAGAACAAAACGTGATTTATCTCTTAAATTTGTGTCAACCACAGACCTTATTTCGAGCTATTTTCCAAAACCCTATGGAAAAAATGCATTGCTTTTGGACGAAGGAACCGGAAGTGCTAAAAATACACTTCCGGTTCCTTCCTCAAAAAGCAATGCATTTTTTTTAGTAAGGCAAAAAGCAAAATCTATGCCCTCATTGGTCATGTGCGCGTTCGTGTGTGTTGGAGGAGGGGCTCTGTAAGGAAGTGGCAGATTTTTTCTTCCGGTTGTGTATTTTCTAATCCTAGCGCACTCGAGCTGGTTTCTCCAAAATGACCTACCCCACCTTTAATTACAGGACGCGATCAACAAATATGCAATGTATTTCCCCCTGTTGTCTGATGATATTGACATGGTTTTGAAACAAAACATATTTTAATTTGAAAATTCCTTACCGGAAGTCATGGTTTTCTCTTGACCACCATGCCACCTGCGATGTAAGCAGGAATACATCCACGCAGAGGGAACTTTTTTGAACTGCAGGTGAATAATTTAGCTCGAAATGTATTCTCTTTAAAATGACTATGTCAAGAACTCTTGTCTTTTCCGTACGATTGTTCGGCCAATGATGCTATCTAGAGTAAGGGTTTTGAAGAGTTTAAATGTATGTCTTGTTTAGATGTTGCATTTGTCATCACTTAATGAACTTATTTTAAGTCTTATTTAGTTAGGTTGATGTAAAAATGCGAGGTCTTGTAGAATCGGACACAGGCCCGTCCGGTAAATAAGTAGATATTAGTAAATGTTAAACAAAACCGCTAATGGTAGCCGCCTGTCCTTCTCATGCAGAGGGGGTGTCTGCCATGAAACAGTAATGGGTAACGTTGTCCCACCTGTTTTTTTAGCTGCTTCTCTCAAACAAAATTAACCTAGAAAGAGTTTTAAGAAGACTGTAGCTCGAGTTTTTGTTCAAAGATGCTTATTTACATCAAGTTAGTTTACAGTTAACACAATAATGTAAAGCCAATTAAAGTTGTTTCTGTTGAATTGCTCTCGTAAAAGTTAGCTGTTATGCTACTCTCAATCTGCGAGATCCCTGGTCAATGCCAAATGATTATTTCATAGTATTTCTTTCTTGTCTATATAACTTCATATGAATAAGCTTCATGATATTGTCAAAATGTGCAGGACACTTTTGATCTGGAAAATGTATATAGCTAAACTACACAAATAACAACCTGTGGGTCCCCTTTACATTTCTCAGTCTTTTTTTTTAGTAAAAGGGAGGAAATTATTCCAATCCTTACATGCAGCCAGTAGTTGTTACAGGACCCATTATCCCACTTCACAAAGTACTCATTTGTATTCTCTTGAACAAAAATAGCTGGTAAAATATGAAGGTGGCTTGTAGATTTGCTTTTTTTCACCAGAAAAAAACACAATGGTAACATTGAGTGGCTGGAAAAGGTGAAATATCATTAGCTATTTAGCAAGAGGACAAAAATGAAAATGTGCCTCTGGTAAAATCTCAGTGACAACAGGATGGAGGTTTCCAGGAGAAGAATCCTCCAGAAGCATCTGGAGCCAGCCAGACCACTGCGCCGCTGCGTCCCTGCTGACACCGGTAAGTAGTTTGCATCAGTAGGTCAGACTTATAGGAATATATCAAATGTTTGGAATGTAAGATTATTCATAATAATGGCATGCTCATTTGAGAATTGTATAATTTCAGAGCCCAACATAAATGCTGCTACGTGTGCACAGGCACTGAGGGCTGAGGAGGAGCATGAGGTAAGAAACCCCAAGGAACACAATATCCGAGGGTAGCAAATTACAATTATGGTTCATTCCGGTTACTTTTTACCATGAATCATCTAAAAATTGTTTTTAAAAAAGCAGCAAATTATCACATTTGAGACTTTGAAGCCACACAGTAGCTGAGTTTTTGCTTTAAAATGACTTCCACAATCATGGATAATCGAATTCTTTCCAATTTCTTTTCTTTCAATCGATAAGAATTTCAGCACTTCAATATTAGCATTTTCTCCTCATTAAAATCAATTCAATAAATGAAACGTCTGTTTAGAAGTGGATTACGACAGCATAGACTGTTTTTAAAACAATTTTAATGTTCTTCTAATGTTGTGCTTGATAGATTTCTATTGGAATTGAGCAGTTCTGCAAGATTGTTAACCTCCACAAAAAGAAAGAAGGTAAGAACACCATGGTCTTGAGTCATGTTTTCATGACTATTGAAAAGCAGGTTAATATACACAGTAGCAATGTTTAATATACATGTGTGTTCATTTGGAAGCTGGAGGCTAACCAGGAGAGGGAGGTAATTTACAGTAGTGGTTTGGCAAAATGCTAAACAAATGACAACCTGCTTTATTTGCCTGATTTGATCTCATTTGATCTTCTTTTGTTTAGTAGTTAGAATATCTTACAGCAGAGATGTTCTACTTGGCCTTTCAAGTTGTCCTGAAGCCAAGAAGAAGCCGCCATTCTTGCCAGAGCACCCCATAGTCCTAATGGAAGCCGTAAGTTGGGTGTCCATATTCAATTCATGGCGGTACCCTCTTTAGATATGAAATGTGCTGTTTGGATTGAATAATGTTTGTATATCTTAACAGAGACATGCTGGGCCCCCTAACGCCTCATGAAATGAGGTTGAATGGAGGAAATGAAGACATGTAAGTCGGAAGTATATTGTTTTGAAACTCCAGCAAATGAGACAAGTTTAAACATTATAGTATTGCAAATAATTTTTCAATATTCTTTTTTGTTTCTAGGGTGGCAGAAAGGCTTCACTCACCTTAACACATTTGCACAGGGGTTGAAAACCTAAAAACTGTTATTTTTCATTTTTCTTATTGTTCTGGGTGAATTTAATTTAACATTTCTTGTCTATTGCATGTTTGTTCTTTTTGAAGTGAAATTGTACCAAGATATATGAGTAAAAGCCACTTTATTTGCCTAAGTATAAGTACTTCATTGTATTTACCTTTCTGATGTGTGAGATTTTGACTAGTGAAGTATTTACATTTTGTAAAAATGTTTTAAAAATATATTTATGGCTACTAGACCGCTGAATAAAATATTTTTTTGCAAAACTGTTTTGTGTGATGGCATTTTTGTTGTTGCATGTAATTAAATGTAAAGCTGGACTATATATTACATTACATTGCATTTTCTATATTATATATATATATATATATATATATATATATATATATATATATATTATGATTTATGGGGAGAAACCAAGCAATGCTATGTGGATTCAGACATTCAGCTCCCCTGTATAGAGTGCCACAGTGACGCGTCCTAAAACCAGGAAGTAAATTCCTTCCGGTTCTTTCAACAAAAACACAATGCAATTTCTCCATTGGAAAATAGCTGGAAATAAGGTCTGTGGTCGACACACATTTAAGAGACGGATCACGTTTTGTTCAGCCGGAAAATATCCACATGTCAACCCTACTTTTATCATTTTCAAATCTAGTCGCCAGAAGCAAAATGCTAACGTTATGCTATAAACGAACTACAGCAGGGTCGCTGCTTCAACGTCACGCCAATTTAAAGGTGGGGTAGGTAATTTTGGAGAAACCAGCTCGAGAGCGCTAGAATTTGAAAATACACAGCCGGAAAAAATCTGCCTCTTCCTTACAGAACCAATACCTTACATGACCAATGAGGGCACGAGATAAGTTACGGCTTCCACAGATGACATTTTTTTATGGATTTATTGTCAAAGCACTTAAAATATTCATTGCCATCGGGATGTTAAGAGCATTCCATGGAATATAACAAAAAATGTGTCTCGAGCCGGTTTCTCAAACTTACCTACCCCACCTTTAAGATACATATTCAAAACTACAGATTCAAAATTGTACAAGTTGAAGCTTTTGATTTAACAGTTTGCAAGAGCGCAGATACTTGCTTTCAAACAGAACAGGGGGAAAAACAAACTTAGGAGTGTTTACGTGTTCGGTTTAATGACGTAAAACGTCCTCGACAACGAGCAACAGTTCAAGTGTGAGTTTGGCAGGTGAAACAGACCCCTTAGATTGCATCCTCCCATAGTTCAGAGTTCAGCCCCCCCCCTTACCTTGTGGTTGAGCTGTGTGGCCCCCTGTAAGGAGGCTCCTGTGTATCTTGAGCAAAACTCAAAAAGACCTGGAAACACAGGACTGAAACGAAAACACATGGGCACCAAATATTTCATTAATGGTATAATAACTTAGTCACTGTGGCTATTAGGCGGAGAATCAGACATCAGAGCCCTAATATATCTGAAGAGTGGGAACTAAGAAATACATCGTTGAACATTTTGATATATTACATTTTCCTTGTTGAAAGAAAATGAGACAAACATAACCTAATATGTGATGACTGTGGATAGCGATCTTTATAAATAAGGAGCAACACTCACCAGTCGTCTCCCACGTTGAAAGTGTTGAGGCTCTTGGTGAAGCCCTGCATGTTGTTGGGGCTGACCTTCTGCAGGAAGTCTATGTAGTCTTCAGAGTGGAACCGACACATGTCGTGCTGAGACGCTTTGTATGGCTTGAACACCTAATAAAAACATATAAAACTGATTAAATATAGTCCGATTTTAGATTTTTTTTATTGTGAATGGATAGTGAGCAGATGTTAAATGAGCGAGTAAAGCCTCAGCAGGGTGTGAAAGTATAACAGCATCTCTGCTCACCATCATTTTCTTGTAGAGTCCATAGTGCAGCACCAGACTGTGAGTCAGAGACAGACGGTGGGGCTTCATGGGGTGGCCGGCACCTGGGGGGGAGAGGCAGATCAAACATTACAGAACACATATTCATAGGATACATTCATCGTTTTGTCTTATATTAAAGGTCAGCTGAATTTCACAACAACACGTAACGGACCGAAAATGAAAACTATGATATTTTGTAACAAGACACTCAAAGGACTTTTATCCCCTCCCCTCTGGCAGGAGGCTGCGCTCCATCAGGACCAAAACCTCTCGCCGCCTGAACAGTTTCTTCCCCTCTGATACCGGCCTCATCAACAAGGCCCGGCCCCCCCACTGACACTGACTTTTTACAAACATTATGCATTACATTAATGCACATCATGTGAACATCTTAATACCTTGGCGTGTGCATGTTCATGCTCAACTCTGACTGCCTTTTGCACATGTATGCACACATGTCTGCACAGCCCTCCACTTTCAAATATAATTCAATGTAGTTTGCCATATATTGTCATAAACTCATTGTCCTAAGTCTTTTTGTTTTTTTGCTTTGTATATTTAAATTTGGTGTAAATACTTGTGTTTAGTATTATTTTTTAATGCTAAATTGGTTCTTAAAAATACTTATTTTGTATTATCCTTGTATTTTTACCACTATTGCAACTCATTTTTACTATTGGGACTTCCCTTTGACAACAGTCAAAATACAGAGGAGCATCTCTTTGGAACAAACTTCTCCCATCACTACAATCAACAGCTATATTGTTGTTGTTTTTAAAAACATGTGACAAGACTTTAGGAAATCATATATATTAATGTAATGCATCTCAACTTGTCAACATAAATTATTTACATTTTTCATTCTTATATATTCGATTAGAGACCTTGATGAATTGTTTCCCTTAAAAAGAGACTATATTTAGTAGTTGTGGTATTTCCATAAACCACTTTTAGATTATTCTGAACAAAAACAATCTTTAAATCTCTAAATGTATAATACCTGTAAATAAATCAAATGAATAGCTTAACCAAAATAGTTGCAGTTATACAAACAATATTCTCTCGCTCTTTTAAGATAATCAACAACAGGTGTATATCATATGTGGGCATACTCCCATGAGCATTAGAGGCACATTGTTTACTTCAATACGTTTACCCTTATTGTAAGCTACTATGCAGTTACTACATACTGAGCTGTTTAGTAAACCATTTGCTATATAAGAAACGTAGCAATACATGAGAAATTGAGCTACGTTTAAAGAACCTACACAACAGACCTCTAAATGCACATACGACGCTTGAAACGCTTCAATTTAAATGTAAAAACACAGCCCTGAAGTCATTAGCATAAGGCTAGCTTGCTTTAGCACCGTTTCCCTTTGTAGGCCCGCTCGTTACCATAACCACACTCACCATAATGAAAGTTCCCCACGTCTGGGTCATAAAAATAAGACGTTCTGTTATTCATTCTGAAAGGAATATGTTGTGAATTTTTATGAGAAACTACGAGCGTTCTTGCAGCTACAAAACACACATTTTCCTATCAATTAGAAGATAGCCGCCATGGTAAAAACACCGACACGTCATCAGAGAGCGACAGTACTACTAACGGAGAGGGGAGGGGCGTGTGGGAGGAAAGGATGCGGCTGACAAAATAAAACTGAACTGATGTAAAAATGATGAATTCAAACGTTTAGGCTGATAACTTCGACTATTAAGACTACCATTTCACCTTATTTCAATATTTGTATTATGTTTAAATAACCTTTAAACATTTGTTTGTCATTTTGTTATCATTAATTGTGATTTACCATACCCCAGTTGGACCAACATATTTTTGGCTTTTCACCTTCATCAGGGTCGTTAGATTAAGTTGTTTACTTGTTTACTTTACTACAAGTGTAACTAAATCCTTTAACAGCTTCAAATTATCATCTAAAAATGTGTTTTAAGATTAACAACTGAATCACACGCTTTAACAGATCAACTACAAATAGCTGGTGACAACCCTAAATCGGTTGGAAGACAGTTTCATTTCAGTCATATTTTTTTATTATAAATGTAGTGAAGTTGAGTATAATAATTACAATAAGATCAATACTGGTGCATCGCTCGTGAAAAAAACATTATTTTGTTTACCTCAGCTTGGTTTCCAAAACAAAGTGAGATCTGCAACACACCCTTACACAAAACATACAAAGACGTTAATTCTGAAATGCTTTTTAACCTGCAGGTCTCTGCAGGTTAAATTCAAAACAACTTCAATACAAATTCGATACAAAATGTCCACACGATTTAACAAAAATGCAGTAAAGACGAACAAATACTTTAGTTTGTTCAACCAGTTGAGTTTAATGTTTTGCAAATTATGCTCCAACTAAAACGTCTTCTTTAGTTGGTCTCACTCTTAACCTCATTCTTTCTCCCTTCCGTCGTTGATTTTTTTCTTCACCCTTCCCCTCTTTCTTTCCACAGTAAAGAATAAAATCTGTGTGTGTGTGTGTGTGTATGTGTGTGTGTGTGTGTGTGTGTGTGTGTGTGTGTGTGTGTGTGTGTGTGTGTGTGTGTGTGTGTGTGTGAGAGTTTTGATGGCAAGAGCAGATGTACCCAAGAGGTCTATCAGCACAACCTTACACACAGGGTCATGTCCGTTGCAGCGTCTCTGCTGTATGAATGCGTGTGTGTAAAAGTGTGTGTGTGACAGCTAGTGAACTTCAGAATGATTTATTACTAAATCCTTCTTAACATTACGATATGCCTATTCCTGCTTTTACATGACCGGAGGAGTGTATGAAGAGTCAATTGTTTAGTTGATGAGAGTTATTTGCATCTCTAATTTGTGAGTTTTTTTCAAGTTCCAGTTCATCTTTAGTCTAGAAAATACAGTAATTTCCCAACCAATGAGGTGTTTGAAATGTGCTATATTTTGTCGGTATTGTATTTTTAATGTACTACATATATTAAACACTCATTACTAGCTTAGCTTACTTTACTACTAGCTAGCTAACTAGCTACTTTTACATATAAAACACAGGATTTAATGCAAAACGTACATTTTGAATATGCACAGTATTTTAAAAAGTGTTTGTCAATGTGTCTATTGGCTCCACATTAACAATCTACAATATCAAAAATTATTTGTCATGTATTTGCTACTGATTCAATCACAAACACATAGTTCTACAACACTGTAAAGAACCATTCTGCATTCACAAAGTACATTTGACTTATTTTACTTAAATATTAGTTTTAATTCAGGATTTTTTATTTGTATTGGAATATCTTAACACCATAGTAATTCTACTTTTACTCAAGTAACGGACCTGAGTACTTTTGCCAAAACTGTGTGTAAGACATACAATTGTTGATCCATAACTCTCTTCAGTTTTGATGAAGAGGCTGGCATAGATATGGGTTCACAGAGGTACACTGCCTCGCCTTCGCTCTGCAGAATGTGTGTCGGCTTGTCGGCTGTTTTGCGTTGGAATGTCTGATGCATTTGACTTTTTCTCCCCTCATTTGCTCTCTCAATGTTTCTCTGCCTGCAGCTAAAAAGCAGAGCTCACCTGGATCGAATGGTAAATGCATTATGTATTCCTGATGTTGCAGGTCACAGGAGGTTCAGCAGGTGAGCTTCATGCATGGATTGAGATAGTGTGTGTGACCAGATTTAAACCTGGAATCCCCCTTATTTGTTTTGCATTTTGGGGTTTTTCTCTTCTTTGGTGGCCAACAGATCAATGTTTAAGGATTTATTTACATCACCACACAATGCATCAAAACAGCCTGGTCTCATTACACATACTTACGTAAGTATCTTAAGTTACGTAACAACATACTTATTTTGGCCCAAACCCTGACCTTTTCCTAAATCTAAACATGTACTTATGTGGCCTTAACCTAAGTGATGCCAAAGGGTCCTGACTGAGCGTCTGTATGTGCCAAAACCAAGACCTTATTAAATCTGAGAATGCTGTTTGTTGTGCTCTGTTTCTCCATTAAATCTATTTTTAGTCGTTACCACAAGATATGTCAGAAAACTAAAAAAGAAGCTAGTTGGTGCAAATTGAGTTAAGTTCTACTTTTTCTAACACCAAGAATGAACTTTTAAGATCCACTCAAAGCTCCTTTTGTTATTGAAACCAGTTTCTGCAAAGGATAGGAAGTTTAGGTTTGAACAAATGATTACATTGCATGTCCCTGTGCCCACAAAAGTGGTGTTTTTTCTACTCGAACAACACAGAAAACAACTTTTTGCTGGAGGATAGCAATATTAAAAAAGGACATATTGTACAAATTGCAGGTTCATATTAGTATTCTGTGCCTCTACTGTGACATGTTTCCATGCAAGAAGATGTTCAAAAAGGTCTTTATTGTTCTCATACTGTATGTGCTGCAGAGAAACTTCCTCTGAAGGGATCAATGGGATTTTAGTCTTTGCTGACCGTTTTCCTGCATAAAAACCTATATAACTAACTACAGGAAAGAGAAAACCCCAACATTCAGAAGGTCCTCTTTAAGAGAATAGAAAACACCATTAGAACTAATAGAAATAGAAAGAAATAAATGTCTTGTATATTTAATCATTACTAAGATTCCTGTCTTGCACATTTTTTACTTTTTTAACAGTCTGTCAGGATAACACTTGCAGAGCTATGAATACATTCTATGCAATTGTGTGAGTGTGAGAGGGCTGGCTTTGGCCAAAGGGTACAAATCTAATCTGTCAAGCATCTGTCTCTGCCTGTTTGTTGAAACACACACTCAGACACACACACACACACACACACACACACACACACACACACACACACACACACACACACACACACACACACACACACACACACACACACACACACACACACACACACACACACACACACGACACACGACGACCACACACACACACACACACACACACACACGACACACACACACACACGACGCGCACACGACACACACACACACACGACACACACACACACACACACACACACACACACACACACACACACACACACACACACACACACACACACACACAGACACACACACACACACAGACAAGGGCCCCCACTAACTCATTCCTGTTTGTCAATGCCATGGAGATATATACAATAATGATCTGAAGTGAACTAACACACACAAAGATCCACATACACATATTTTCTGAATATTAAATTGATAAATAGTGTGCAGAAATTAGTGACTAGGTGACTAATTTGTTACCCAACAGATTTAGATGAAAATGGCCGCCACAATAGATTAAATATTAAAATGGGGTGCTGTGCAAGGTTTCTGTATAGGGCATTTGACAAAGCAAATATTACAGGTTTGTAAATGTTCTTAAAAAATCTGGAGCATGCATTCAAAGTGGTACAAAAAAACCCCAAATCTTTTATTAAGTATTTGAAGACTGACTTGAAACACCGTTGGTGTGAATGAGGCAGTACAAGATAAGGTTTGGCACACAGCTGTTATTTTAATGCTCAGTGAAATGAAGCATAGCTGCTGCTTAGTATCACCACAACAGAGTATGCTTAAGCAATGAAACATGACTACACACAGGTATAGTCAGATTTGGTGATATAAATGTTACAAAGTGTAAATCTGATCCCTACTTCCTGTCACTTTTAATCTCTTACTCACATAGTATACTGGCAAAATACATGCAGATTAAATAAAAAAGAAACCAACTCCACAAAAGCAAACAAATGTTGCGTCCTAGACAAGTCTGTGGTGATGATGTACACTAGACAGTATATGTCACACTTTAAGTTAGGAAAATGCATATTCAAAAGTAAGTTACCATTAGCATAATAATATAGGGGTTTCCTGTTATTTTCTCTCTCTGGCAGTTATTGGACTCTACAGCCTTTATCGTAGGTTTCCCTATATTTCTGGTTTTAACTTTTGGTTTTCATATGTTTCTCTTGATTATAAATAATATTACAATTTATAAATTAAACAAGATATAATCATACAATCCTCTGCTGGTTTACAGGTACTCCCAGTGGCCCTATCGGGACTTATGAAGTGCTCCATTGTGTTCCACTGACTTCATTTGGCTGCAGTACTGTTTAAAGAAGCAGGCGAGTCTCCTCCCCGAGGTCCTCATCATGCATTACCTCACCTGCTGCGTGGCAGATGTGGAGAATCACACCACATGTGATCACAGACAACATAAAGAAATATCCGTGTCCACTGCCTCGAAGAATCACATCTATTAAAAAGCAGTTGAATGGGGCAAGTATTCAGATCAAGTACAAATAATAATCTGTTACAAGCAAAAGTCCTGCATACCATATGTCATTTCTGCCACTGGGGACTTCTCAATTAATACAATAACGAGACGTGGTGTGCAGACATCCACTCAGAGCCAGGCAAGCAGAGATGCGTGCCACCACCTGGCTTTCAGACCGGGGAAAAGACAGAATCAATTGTGCATCATCTATGTAACTGTGGTAGGAGAAGCCCAGAGAGCAAATGAGAGAGAAACAGTGTACATAGAAAAATAGAGGACAGAGCCCTGTGGGAACCCATTAATGAGATTAATAATATTGGTTTCATTGCAGTCAGCTTCGCGAAATTA